CCCCCGGCCGAGCGGGGCGCAGATGCCCCCTCCTTCCGCGGGTTCTCACGGGCGCTGCCGGCCCCCCCCGCTCCACCAGCCCCCTCCGGCAGTTTGCACAGCTGCCCGCGTTATTAACCCGGGATCGGGCAACTAAAATGAGGCAAAAGGAAGCCTGTGCCTGGCTGGGGTTTCAGGCGAGCATGGGTGGGAGAGAGGAGTGGGGAGCTCGGGGCTGCAGGAGGAGCTTTTGCAAATCCCACTGCAAACCCGGCAGGCTGCTGCTCTGCACCTCAGTTTCCCCACCTGGGAAGCCTGGCCCGCCTCTCAGCACAGCTGTGGTGATGTACGAGTTAGTTAAAACTGAGGTGCTCAGCAAAGCAAATGAGGAGGCAGTAGTGTCAGGTGAGGCAGATAAGTGCCCAAACCAGACCAGTTAGGAGACAGATAATCTGCATAGGACCATAAATGTGAGACGTTTTCTGTTTTTCCAATTGTTTAGCATCCAGCTGGACTTCTCCTTACTGGGAGGGGGCTGACTCAGCACTTTTCATTTCCTCCACATTTTTTCTTTTTTTAAAATAGCTATTTTATTTAGCTGCAAAAAAGTATTCTGCTTGGCGGCTCTGGGAAGGCAAGTTTGCCGCTGTTTTGCAGAGACCTCTGGGGTGAGAAAGATGTTCAAAGGAAATGGGGCATTTACAACTGCTGAAACTCTTTAAGCAGAGCTTCCATGTCCATTTATATATATATAAATACGAACATTTTATGTGTTATATATAAGAAGGCATCCCCTCTTTGCCAGCAGGTCCTGGCCACAGAGGTTTTGCACACTGCATTGGGCCACAGCGGTGGGAGCTGCCCATGGAGGTTGGGGCTGCAGGATACCTGACTGTGCCCCTCTCTCTGACTGGACCCTGGGCATCTCTGGGACAGGCGGCGGGCAATGTGATGCTCTGAGATAACCTCTGCAGAATGTACTGCTGATTTATGGCTTCTCTTTTGAGGCCAAACATCCATTCCAGATATGCAGTCCATTTCCAACAGATATTTAGAGCAAGGCTGGGTAATCAGGGAGTTTTCCCTGTCTTCCCTGAAGTGTGGCCATCACCCTGCTTTTTGTAGGTGCTCGCTGTTCATGGATGAGTTTGTGAAAGCAGCTGCCACCTTCAGTATCTCCTTGTGTCTGGGAAAGGGACCAGGAGTTCCCTGTGAGGCAGTGGATGGGCTTGGTGTGCCCATACTCTGCTGAGAGATGGTAGCGGGTGCATTAGGATCAACAACTCTATGGTGGCACCTGGAGCATCCAGGTGTTGGGGTCTTCACCCACTGACTGTATTAATGGCCAGTGGCACGTAGGCCAACCCACAGTGCCAAAGCTGGCCCAACGGCAGCATCCCTGCCATGGCTGTGGGGCGAACTCACACCTGGTCACTAAAGAGCGTCTACCACCTGGGCTGCTTCTGCTGCTGCGTCTGCGAGCGGCGCCTGCAGAAGGGCGACGAGTTCGTGCTGAAGGAAGGGCAGCTGCTCTGTAAGGGCGACTACGAGAAGGAGCGCGAGCTGCTGAGCTTGGTGAGCCCGGCTCTGTCGGATTCCGGTAAGGGGCTGCCCCGCGCCGGCCGTGTCAGGAGCTCCAGGGCGTTTCCATCCCAAAGCCGTCTGCAGCCGCAGTGCCTCTTCGCAGGACCTTGCACGCGGTGGTGGGGGGACCTGAGCAGCTCGAGGAGGTCCAGAGGATGCTTGGGCCTCGTCCTCGCCGCACCGGCCACGTGCTCCTGCTTGTTGCTGCTCCCGGTCTGTCCCCAGCCATCCTGGGGTGCGCAGGGAGAGGGGTTCACTGCTCCTGCCCGCGACGGAAGATTTCCTGGCTATTTCCTGGACCACTGGATCCGTGTTGAAATGCATATCTACAGTCAATTAAACTAAAATTTGAACATTTCCCAGGAAGCCAAATTTAGAAAGAAAACACAGCAATGGAGGCTGGGGCTGGGGAAGGTAAAATTTTAAAAGAGCTGTTAGCAGATATCTCTGCACTAACAACGTTCCCAAAGGCCCCAGCTCCTAGCAAGGCGGTGTGGCCGCGGGCCGTTCATCCGGCTCACGTTGTGCGCGGGTTTCCGAGTGCTGCTCTGCTCCTCTGGAAACAGCGTCGGAGGAGGAAAAGGGGCTTTGTGGAAGGGGTGTTCAACACCCTGCCCCTGCCAAAATGATGATGCTAAAAGCAAAAATAATCAATGGGGCAACAGGAGGGAGGTTGTAGGAGAAAGGCAGTGAGTGCCAGGTCAGCACTGGAGTCGAGGAAGAGGCAGGAAAACACAGAGCTCACTGCACCGGCTCTGGCTCTTGGAGCAGGCTTGGGAAAGTCCATTTGGAAAAGATCCATCTCGGATCTCAGATGCTTGGCGAAATGCTCTTTTTCCTTATGGGATATGCAATCCACTCCTAGTTAAAAAAGGAACCAGGGAGGAAATGAGTGCAGCAGCCTCCCATTCCCGGCTTGCTCCTAGCGGGAGAGAGGGCACTTTGGCCAAGGGTGGTGAGCACAGTGGGCCGTGGCTCTGCTTCCAGCCTTTCTGCCCCAAAGCAAGCAGCAAAAAAAGCCCAGCCCCCACCCCCGCCCCAGCCCCCATGCACCAAAGGCCACTTTTATGAGAAAGTGCGGATAAAAAGCCAGCCATATGTTGCCTGTAATCTCCCAAACCCTCGCTTCAATTACAGCCTCCCCGGAGCCATGGCCCAGGCCAGCCTGAGTAAACAAGCCCCTCTGAAAGAGGAGCCCACTTTCCAATTAAGCCCATCCTAGTCTCCCTCCTCTCCCTAAATCCTCCCAGGCGGAGCAGGGCCCTGGCGCGGCAGCGGGGCGCGGGCCCCTGGTCGCTCCGAGGCCATGACGTTCCCGATTGCCCTGGTTTCCCCCACTGGCGCTTTCCCGTGTGACGTCAGGGGCAGCCCGAGACGGTCATTAATTTCTTCTGTGTCGGGTGAGAGGCTTGAAAGGGAGAGTTAATTAAAAGTAAACCCCCCGCCAAATCCGGCTCTGCTGCTCCTGCTTTCGCTCTGTGGCACTCGGAGGGATTTGGGGAGCAGGTGTTGGGAAGGGAGGGCTCAGAGAGGAAGCGGGGGAATTGCTCGGAGCTGGATTTCCCCCTCATGAACACTTTTTTCTTTGGAACAGTTTTTGCTTGAGATGGTTCATGCACCTCCTGCACTCCCCTGCTGAGCTGGTCCCTGATGGGCCTGGTGGCCAGAGAAGCGTTTGGGTGGCCACCTCTTGCTTAAGTGCCTGGGATTTCCCACCAGCCACCTAGCCCACGCTGCTTTGGACCTAGCACAGGTCCTTCAACTTTGTCCTGGTGAGACTCAGCGGGGGGACACCACAACCTTTGGGACATTGGTGGAGCTGGAGGACAGTCCTTGGCATCATCAGGCACTAGCATGGATGTGACCTGCCCATCCCAGCCCAGATGTGTCTCCAGCAATGACCTGGGAGGAAATCCCCATAGGGCAGACCCACTTTGGGGGCAGCTGCTGTGAAAACGAGGTGCTTCTAGAGCTTCCCACTGCAGCTGCTCAAACCTTAGCAACTTGCCCAGGCTATTTTTGGCCATGCTGGAGCACTCTGTAACAGATCAGCATCCTCTTTTCCCAGGCAAAAGCGATGACGAAGAGAGCATCTGCAAAGTGGGCCCGGCCTCAGGGAAGGGTGCGGAGGATGGGAAGGACCACAAGCGGCCCAAGCGGCCTCGCACCATACTCACCACCCAGCAACGGAGGGCCTTCAAGGCGTCATTTGAGGTCTCCTCCAAGCCGTGTAGGAAGGTACAGAGAGATCTAGCCGGCCACCTGGGCTAGGAAGCTCATGGTTCTGCCTGCCTCCATCCCTGGTGGCAGTGAGCTCCCAGCTCCAGCGATGGCTGGGAATTGTCTTAGTTGCTCTGCCCCTTCCAAAAGTCAATCAGAGCCAACTGAGATGATCGTGTCCTCTTTCCAAGGTGCGGGAGACGCTGGCAGCTGAGACGGGTCTCAGCGTCCGTGTGGTGCAGGTCTGGTTCCAGAACCAGCGAGCAAAGGTGGGTGGCATGGCGACAACCCAAGCAGGGGCTGTGGGGGCTCTCTGCCTCCTCTCTCTGCCATGGGGGCAATCTCACTCATGGACCTTTGCCCCTTCTTCTCGCCCAGATGAAGAAGCTGGCTAGGAGGCAGCAGCAGCAGCAGCAGGATCAGCAAAACACGCAGCGCCTGAGTTCAGGTAGCCTGAAGTGTCATGCCTGGCCTTCCTCGCCCCCGCCATGAGGCCTCCTCATGCTCAGACTATCCCGGTACTCTGCTCTTGTCTTCCAGTCCAGCCCAATGGAGGGGGCAACGGCGGTCTGGAGGGCATCATGAACCCGTACACGTCGCTGCCGCCGCCGCCTCTCCTGGGCATGGAGCAGAGCGTCTACAGCTCCGACCCTTTCCGGCAAGGACTCACCCCACCGCAGATGCCTGGAGACCACATGCACCCCTACGGTAAGGTGTGGAGAGGTGCTCTGGCCGTGCCTCGTTTTCCCCACCGTGCTCACATTGGGATGACGCTCCCCATCATGGGGGAAAGGGATGGCAGTGGGTGTCTCCCTGGGGAACTTCTGGGAGCGGGGTCTGCCCAGCAGAGCTGCACTGTGGACCTGGGGGAGGAGAGTCCCACCGGAGGCTGTCACCCATGGGCCAGGGCTGAGGCATCAGGCCGAGCTACGCGCCCCATGCACACGGCTTCTCCCCAGGTGGCGAGCCCCTCTTTCATGACCTGGACAGCGACGATACCTCACTCAGCAACCTGGGTGACTGCTTCCTGGCCACGGCAGCGGCAGACACCGGTGCCCTCCAGGCGCGTGTGGGGAACCCCATCGACCACCTGTACTCCATGCAGAGCTCCTACTTCACGTCCTGAGTGCCGCCTCTCCGCTGTCGGGCCCTCGCAGCAGCCCGCGTGCTGGCTGACGGATGAGCGGCCGTGAGGCCGCGGGCGAGAGGGTTCGGGAGGGAGGGGGACTCGGCACCGCCGGGATGCTGTCAAACCATGTTTTGTAGCTTGGTATTCCCAAGGACGGAGTAACTCATGGGTTGCATAGTTTCATGTTTCTCTTAGACTCCTAGGATTAGAGGCAGGGGTGTCCACCGCAGGGGCTTTGGAGATAGACGTGGGAATCTAGCGAGCCCCGGCGCCTCCCGCCCGTGCGGCTGGGGGCCGTGTCCGTGCATGTGCGCGGCTGCACGCGAGCGCGCCGAGCTGCACGGCCACGCGCGCTACTGCCGGGCGCGCCTGCCGCCTCGTAGCAGCAAAGTTTTATTTCTAATTCTATCAGAAATTTACTGTACAGCAAAAGTAACTTTATTTTCAGTGTGAACCATATTTAAGGAAGTACTCAATGCACTTAAGTTATAAAATGAAATAGTTTACTTTTTATAAATGTTATGTTTAGGTTGCAAAAGCCCGGGCACAGGCAAGGGACTTCAGTTCATTGCAGATGATAGGTTCGGACCTGGGGGTGGTTATGGTTGGTGCTTTCCAGTTGCCCCACTGATTTTTAAGGGCACTTGAAATGCCAGGCAGGGCCAGTTGACCATCTCCTCGTCCCTACTCTAATTTTCATGCATTGTGTCCTTTTGCGCTGCTGTTCACAAGTTCTGTAGGCAACAACCTGTAAAGGCATGCAAGTGACTGTGAGACTGAAAACACTGGCTCATCGCCACGGTATAAGCTGACACTGAATGTAATGGGGTCCGGAGGTGGCTGACCCAGCAGGAGATGCTGACACACTGTCAGAAATCACATACCAAGAAGAAATTAAAAGAAAACAAACAAACAAACAAAACCAAAAAAAAAAAGAACACAAAACTCTGCAAAAATGCCTGGTGTCTTATTGTGTGAGATGTCTCAGTGACTCATAAAGGGAAAGGTTTGAATATCTCTAAAGTAAGAAAGATGTTGGGTAGGGTGCAGTGTGACAGCAGGGAAAGTTTCTGCTCATTGGGCTTTAGATATCAAATACTCCGTAGTCTAAGACTAAAACAAGCCTTGATGTTCCTCTGATACCAATAGAGAGAAACTGGTGAATCTGGAGAGTGTTTCCTGTCTTTGACACCCAGCTGAGGTGGCAGGGAGAGGTTTGCTGGGCTCTCCACCAAGCCCAGCAGGACCTTGGAGGACAAGTGAATGAGTCTGGGTCTGCCAAGAGTGCTTCCCAGGCAGATGACACTTGCCATAATGGATGTGGCTGAAGATGGCAGAGAGGATGCAGTGGTACTAAGGGCGTCGTGCATGACTGATGGGAACAGTTTACACCGCTGGCCTTGTCCCGGCTTCCCTCCTTTGCCTGGGGACCAGGGGGTATACACCCAGGCTAGCAAATGGTCAGGTGGGTTTGCTGCAAGCCAGGTTACCCCATGTCTGCTTTCACCCCTGCTCTTCATGCCATGGCCATCAGGTGCTCCACATTAGGACTGCCAGAAAGATATGGGTGGGTATTTCCCAACAGACACTGCTCTTATCACCGCTCTTAGACATGGAGAGGCTCTGCGAATACGTGACAATTCCTGCAGATTGAGGATGGGGAAAAGAAAACAGACACCCACAACTCATTGTCTGAGACACTCAAAATAAGTCATTCTCCTTCCTGTTTTTTGTCTGACTCTGCTCTGCCGTTCCTGTGCTACAACATGCTGTCAAAGCCCAACCTATAGAACAGAGTATTCCAAAATGGTTTGACTGCATGTAGAAAATATGCATTTTTTCTTTTGCAAACTGTAGTTTCCAGGAAAAGGCCTGGATTTCTTGGGGCTTTGGGACTTTTTGCTCTCCTTCATAAAAGCATTGGAATGGCAGAAGCAAAGGGCTGACCTCAGTGCTGAGCCATCACAGGGGGCTCAGGTACTCGAGAGGTCAGGGTGGGTCACCAGAGACACTGCTGGCTTTTCTGGGGTGGGGAGGAGGAGAGTGAAAATGAATACATCCCATCTCCCTCCCAGATATGGAGCAATGTAAAATGCCTGTCCTCTCGAGACAGACCCAAAAGGCATGGCAGAGGTTTTACTTGCCAGACATAGCCCCAAGAGGCAAGGGAGTGGGTTGGTTTGCATGGCAGGGTGCCTGTCGGAACCTCTGGGCATGAAGACATTTGTTAATCGCTCGTGGGAAGGAGTCATAGAGGGAGAGTGGCAAGAGGATTGCTCCTGTCAGCTGGAATGAAAGGAATCTGGCCTTGGGCAGCAAGGCTCAGCTCTCCTCCTGGAGAGTCGGGTGGGGATACCTGGTCTCCGTGGCGGCTCTCACGCGGAGAAACCTCCAGCTGACCTCAGAGCTGGAGCTTAGCTGCCTGTGCACCGCAGCCGGGACTGTCAAAGCTGGCCCTGAGGCCTTGCTCATCAAAGCGGCATTTTGGCAACAGTTGGTCACGGTTCTCAGCTCTCTTGGAGAGTCTCAAGACGAAATCCTCTTGTGACCTGCAGGAAAATGGGCACCAAAGGCAATACATTGCGATGGCTTCCACCCGCTCACTATGGCTCTGCTGATGAGGGGCTGCTGGAGATAGATAGCCTGCATGGTGCTTAACCCTTCCCCAGGGGCACAAGTCCCGCTTGGGCTGGTCACCATCTCTGCCTGCACCCATCCAAAGTCTGGATGCTGGCCCTGAAGCTTTTCCTTTCTCACGCATGCCCATGTCATATTTGAAACACGTTCGCTACATCAGGCTGGCTTTCCATAAGCATAGCTATCAGTTTGAACATATCAGATTGCTTTTCCCCAAATAAAACTGATGTGAAAGCTACTCTCACATGCAGACTAGTTGTCTACTTGTTTGAAAAAACTGCAGAAATATAATGCCAATATCTCAAGATGTTTATGTAGATATATAAAGAATTCATATACATAATATGTCATTTGTTTGGGGTCAGCACAGTGGAAGGGGGAAGATCCTCACCTAGTAATATCAGTGGAGTTCACTGTTTTAAATCTCTCTCTTTCCTGCCAGCTGATGTGTATGTTTGACACAGTATGAGCACGAACCCAGCTTGTAACTGTGTGATGCAGTCCTGTCACCCTGATGTGGTGTTTGGGATCCCTTACTTTAGGGGCTGGACTAATCCTGCCAAAGCAAAACCAAAGCAAAAATTATAGCCTCAAAACCTGCTAGAACTTGCTCAGATGATGGAGTAGTTGTGTGACAGGCAACTTCTTGTCAGGCTGATATCTTGTTGGATGGATAGGTGGTGAGATGGAGGCTCTCTGGTCCTGGACTGCCTCTTCTGAGACACTGTTTTGGGGTACTAATCCAAAATACTTCATTGAAAGCCTGAGCCTGCTCTTGACTTGGGGATTTTCCAGATAGACTCCTGTCAAATGTGGGAATTAAAAAAAAAATGTTCTGATATGAAAACAGACTCTGCCTCGCTTTCCATGGCAAGGGCAATGATGGGAAGGGGTTGAGAGCTGACCTTCATGTATTTGCCTCTGAATGAACAAAGCCCCCTCTGTTCAGATACAGGTCGGTGGCCAAGGCAAGATCAAACCTGAGATTACTTTTCAGTTGAGGGCACTGATTAGATGATACTGATAGTCAGGAACGAGCAAGCTTTGAGTGATACTACGTTAATTAACTTGCTCTTTTTGAATGGATGGTATGGGGGCTTGGGGCAGATGTGCACTGGAATGAAACCCAAAATTGTCTTGGCCAATGTTGGCTGGAAAGGCTGGATTTGCATCTGGGGATTTAAATCTTGATATTTCTAGGTATTTTCAGGAGATTTGTAATGAACAGACATTGGAGCAGGAGCAAGCAACCTTACTGGACATTGTCTAAGAAAACTATTCTCCAGATAAAGAAGCACTGGATCCTTGTCTTGCTTAAAATAACCTGACCCAACAGGTGATCCAGTGGTCAGTGGACATGTGCTGGCTTACCCTAGTTGCAGCAAATGTGGGCGCTGAGAGACCCCCAAAGTGAATGGCTTACTAGTAAAGCAGAGCTTGCTGCTGTGAGAAGGGTCATGCTTAAACACCAGTGAAAGTGATGGGAAAGTCCATGTGGTATGGTCAAGTACTGAATATATAAAAGGAGTCAGTAGGAGGGGGCAAATGCTGTTTATTTGCTAGGTGGAGGGAAGGCCAAAGTTCTGGTTGCTCTTGTCACCTTCGAAGAGTGGAATAATTTGCCAGATGTCTGATATCTAAACTGCTGCTGTTCTGGGCATGAAGCATCAGCTGTTATTAGAAAAAGCTTGTGCTGTGACACATGATATGGCTCAAAACACTAAGTGAATGCCTTGTCCTTAAGGTCCATCTGTGAACAAGATACCAGGTAACACCAGCTGTCCAAATTTGACTTGCATTTTTCTAAGTCTATTCTCCCATTGCTCAACTTCTGCATAGAAAGTTTGCTTAGAGACTTTGTAAAATTGTAAAGACTTGCAGCAGAAAGGCAGGGAAAAGATCAGAAGCTCTGCAGGTGTAAAAAGGTAAATAATTTCCTTATCTTGTTGGAGATCAGACCAAATTATTAGCTCCATTCCTCTGAGTAGCAATGTATTGGTCATGAAAAGGTTATCTTGTCAGCTATAGACCTCCTAGATACTGACGTGGATGCTGACATGTGCTTACCTGGTTGACATGTATAAGTTCACAGGCTGAGAATGAATGTTGCCAACTGAAAATCATGTCAAAACACTCCAAGTGATCAAATGCTGACAGGACTTTCAGGGAAGAAGAGCAGATTCCTCCTGCCTTGGGCCCTCCAGGCTGCTGCTTCAGGGAGGAGGATCAGATTTCTCCTTTGGTGATCCTGAGAACAGCAGGATTGATTCAGAGTGCTACTTGGAGGATTGAACCTTGCTCTTGGGGTAGTATAAATCCATGCCATCATTACATGGGAAATAGGAAAAGGAAGGCAAGCA